GTTAATAATAATAGAAAATTTTCATTTTCTGTGTTTTCTAGCAAACCAATTAGTTTAACTACTTTCTTTTTGTTTTTCAATACTATTCTTTTTCAAGAAAACTGATTAGAAATTCTCAAATATTATGCACAACAAAATTCAATCACATATAATCTTATGTCTTTTTTTATCTCCCTATTGACCAATGCTGAAATGCATCAGTATTCAATTTGTCTCTATAAAAATCTATCCAAAAAAAAACATTTACAATTCTTCTCTTTTGAAATGAATATTGGATCGATATTTGCTTATTAAAAAATGGATTTGATAAATCTGAACATAATACACTAATGATTGTAGAGAGAGAAAAAATAAGATCATATGAATATTCAGATGTGTTATAAAAATATCTTTCACTTTATATGTCAACAAACTCATGAACAATTTTATTTAATTCATATGAACTCTTTTTCTCTTTATGTTTGATTTCATCTCAAACAAGTAGTTGTCAGCAGTTAATGACTGTCTATTCATTGTAAGTAGTTTCTAGCCACTATGTCTCTATCTTTATAGATATAGTCTTTTTCCAGGCATGTATCCAGAGAATACATAATAATGAAATAAAAATCAAGTTTTTATATCTATTTTATTGATTCTTCAGATGAAGACTCAAGTCCACAGATCATAATAGTGACTTTTTTCCCGATTTCGAAACAGCAGACAAGTTTGAAATATTATTTTATTTGACAATAAGAATGAACACTATGGCGAGAAAATAAGAATAACATGTTTTGAACACTTGTGACAAATTCAATATCTTTCCATTAACTATTGATTTATTTTTAGAATAAGTAAAAGTAGTTCTGTTTTGAAAAATTATCATACATTGCAATGACATTGTCTAATATATTTTTTTCTTGCATGTTCGCCACTGTATTTGACAAACAATTGCTCATCGAATATAGCGGAGAAAGCAAGAGAAAAGAGAAAAAAAATTTAGTTACACCGCTAATACATTGCCCTATGAATCAGAATGATCAATTCTTCGCTCTCATCTCGCTATATTATCCATGGTGACGAACAGATTGAACAAAAGATTCTTGTTCATTGCTCGAGGTCAATATAAACAACAATGGAAATATTTTACGGTGATGCACATTGTTGAACACAGCTATAAAAGATACAATCATTTTTGTTTTCTTCCTCATTCGATGGCATTAATTACACAATTCGACGATTTACCGGATCTATTCTTTATTGAATTGTTTAATTATTTATCTTCAATCGATATTCTTTGGGCATTTACCAATTTAAATAATCGTATTCAAACAATTATCAATGAACGAGGTTTCTTTCGTCACATCAATTTATCATCAGCACGTCTGTCAAAATTTGATACACTTCTTACTATACTTCCATTGAATCAAATTGAAACACTCATCATTGACATAGAAGCATCGCCTCTTCAACTTTCTCGCTGGCCTTATTTGCCTCATTTGACTACATTACGATTATATGGTTTACGTGACTTTGTAGATACTACCAATTTTATCCTTCGGCACTCAACTTCACTCATACATCTCACATTGGAAACAAACGATTTATTTATGTCAGTATGTATTACTCAAGAATATTTTCAAACTAATATTCAAGTGAAAAAAAAATCATTGAAAATATCTTATTTAGTATCTTCTTATTTCCATACTATCATATATCTGACATCAAGATCTTTTTTTTGCATTAATTAGAATAAAGAACTGAATAATTACAGTCGAATGTCATAGATATGGAATAGAGAATAGTGTTCAATCGTATCTTCATCTGTATTTTTCTATATTTTAAGTTATTAATAGTTTATATTAGCAATGCTCAATCACATTATGAATCGTCAATGAGTTACTTCTATAGATGAAAACATAAATTGACAAAAAAAAATGTCATTTGATGAATTCTCTCCAATATTCTCATGCAAAAAAAATTTTCCTTTTCTTCACTAATGAATTCGATTAATTGATTATTTTTATTTTTTTTAGATGGGCTTTACGGGCTATATTGGGCACCCTAGAGGCCGTTTTCCAATACTTGTGAAAAATGTTTTGCCACATTTGAATGCACTTCGTTCGCTTGATTTGGGCCAAGATACTGGATTCGGTCTCACGAATTGGTACATTACTACAATACAATGTCCTCTCAATTATCTTCGTGTGTCGATGGAACACATACCACATTTATGTCATGTTATGTCAAGAGAGACACTTTCAACTACATTAAAACAATTGCATGTAACAATGCGCAGTGAAAATACGAGAAGAAAAAATAGTTTACCTAAAGGATTAGTGTTATCTAAAATGATCAATTTGCATACATTTACTTTGGCTCAATCGATATTCTACAGAAGTAGTAGAATTGAATGGTCAACTATTGAATCACTCACAGCTCCGAATGTGATGCCCGTACTTCGACGAATGGATTTGGCTATTTTCATAACTGTCGATGATTTAGATTGTATCAATAGATCGTCACTTTTCATGGATGATCGTCGAATCGATATTCAATTTGCTTTCATTATAGATGATACTTCTCTAGGTAATCAACTAAGTCATTATGTACCACATGGTAGTCGTTTTCATCCACGACAAATAGTTGGTGTAACTTGTGTTATAAGTTGCTTATCCCGAAATTATCAAGAATTGACAAATATCAATTGTTATGTGAGTAATTGTATTATTACACAATTTTTATTTGACAACATCCTGATGAGAAATTAAGAAATGATCAATATTTAAATTTTCGTTTTTTTTTCCAAGCTATTGATGCAATAATCTTTCTTTATTCTAGTTCGATAGTTATCCATGGGCTTACGATGTTTGGTACACTTTACCATGGGCATTTGAACAATTCTTCGACTCGGTTGTACCGATTCAATATATAACTAAAGTAGAAGTATTTGCTCTACCTCCTTCGTACTCATCCATTATTAATTCATCTCGACTTCGTACACTTAGCATATCAGAAAATGATTCATTACCATCGATTATTTCAATGCCTCATGTTGTGCAACTAGATCATATTAACACAGTTCATTTATCATTTCATGATTGGCCAACTGGTTTAAATCTTCTGGCTCTTCGTCATGTTATATTGACAAATAATCTCGTTGCATTGAAAAACTTCTCCTCATTTCCATCTAATATTCGGTCTATTCAAATTCTATTTCGTGCTAATATGCTGAACTTTGTATCAAGCAATTGGTCTACATTGCGTTCACTTTCAGCGTTACCGATGCTCACCTCGTTACATATCATTATCAATGACATGAATACAGGTCTTGATGATATTAGTTGTCAGATTATTACAGAAACAGTACCAATGTTCGTTCATTTTGGTATTCATTTTCGAAGAGACAGTGGAATGCCGCCATGTGATTCTGTTGTTCATTGTATTGAATTTGATCCTGCTCTCATCGATGTTGCTAATGATTTTACTAGTCCTATTATTGACGACGAAGATGATGAAAATAATGAAGATGATGATTTGGCATTCTTGGAATCGATATTTGATGTTTACCGGGCATCTATTAAAGAACTACATCGTCGTATTTTATGTTTATCATTTCATATGAAACCTCTAATTGTTATTGAAGAGGGAGGTTGTGGGCTGACTGTTTGGTTATGATTTCCAAAATAAAAAATAAATAATCAATAAATTGTCAAATCCATAGAATATTCCTAAACTTGAGAATAGAACGATTCTTAACGTGTTCACAAGTAGATTGAGATGCAACTTCAGACAGTAATTGGTTATTGTTGTCGAGTTCATATGTGATTTTCAAATATATGATATGAGGCCACTTGTGAATAAAAAGAAACTTGAGAACAGAAATAGGCACCTTGAGTACGCACAAACGAAGTAATCGGCGCAAAAACATGATAAGTTGATTAACTGACTTCTCTGTGACCAACCAGAGCTTATCGAACATGTACTGATTCGCGTTACATCAAGAATCCGTGTCAGATATGGGACAGTATTGATCAATGCTCTACCATCTTCTGATAAATTCAATTCGGTAACATGGGTATATCGATGTATAAGTATATAGTTTGTCAGGAAAGACCAGTTCATATTCAAATAAGGACTATGAGGAAATGATGTTGGTTGTGATCCAGTCGATTCTGTCATTATAACTGGCTGTATAAGTTCGAATGAATAGTCATAGTTGCAAAGAGGATTNCTAATATCAGATTCGGAATCAGCGTTAAAAACTGAGTCGATTTATATATGTTGTGAAGAATTTTGAGAAAAATATTTTTTTTGAAAAAATCCCTGTACTCCCCCTCAGGGATGATCTTCTCAATAATGACAATTTTTTCGATAACTCAGCCATTTCTTGACGGATCCTGCTCATCTTCGAACTCGACCGAGACATTGTTAAGACTGAACTGTGTAGAAAATCGTAGCTTCCAAATTGCGAACAAAAGTTAAGCCAATTAAGAAAAAAGTGTTCGCAATTTGGAACACAGAAAATAACGTTGATCTTATTTTTATTACGTTTCCAAATTGCGAACACTTTTAATAATTAAGTAGTATAGTTTTAATTAGAAAAAAATTTATTAACAACAGAAATTCATAACAAAAAAAAATCTTTCCCACTGGTTGATCAAAATCTGTTAATACTCTACGCTTTAATCCGCATAATACAGCTTGAACATTTTCTGGTAATTTAGGACCATGATTATGATCTGAACCGTTTGATTTGATAATTGTATTGTCTTTTAAAGTTATAGTACGAGAACAAGATTTGAAAGTACATATATACACAAATGAACCGTTCTTGTTTTCACGTCTCAACCCATATAAATAATTATTATATTAGACAGCTTTTTCACCTCTTTCAGTTGTTGACCAATTAAAATTTGTATTCATATTTTGAGTTATGATATCATTCGTATTCTCAAACTTCTTTATTTATATTATTAATGAAATTGAACTCATAATCAGCTATTGCAATCACTAATTAATCAAAGTGTTCGCAATTTGGTAACGCAATCAAAATAAGATCAACGTTATTTTCTGTGTTCCAAATTGCGAATACTTTTTTCTTAATTGGCTTAATTTTTGTTCGCAACTTAGACGTAGTCATCTTTGATCATAAGCACTGATGATAATATTTTGTGGACGTCGAAGACTTTGCTTCTTAGTATTGTTTTAATAAAATAATACCTGCTCTTGTTAATAGATTACATGCAGTATTATCATTTATTAACTATTTTTCAACAACCAACAATATATCAATTATAAAACGTCTTCGCCTGAAGTATATCGTTGATATGATCAAAGAAGTACGCAAATAAGAACAACTACTGAAGAAAGTAGTCAAATCCAAATATGATTATAAATTCTTTCAATATGTTTAATCTGTGAATAAATAATGAAATTCATTCGATATCGAATGTGGAAAGAAAATTACACACATCATAATAAATATAAACAAAATCAGAGGAATCAATTCTTTCAAAAGTCTTCAATTCTGTTTTGAAACTGGAGTCGCCCTTTGAGGACGATTGGATATAAATTGTCTCAGCTGTTGTCGAGTAAAGAAAAATCTTTGATATCTTTTTAATTGTTATGATCTGCAAGGTAATAGATTGTTCCATTTGCCATCTTATGCATGTCTTTTCTCTCTTTCTTTCTGTCATATAGCTCTCTCTCAGATGTTCTTCTTTCTGCTACCAAACACTGACGTTATCATTTCTTCCTCTCTTCTCTTGATGTATTATCATTCAGTTTTTACATGGTCATTTTTAGCCAAACACAATAAAATAATTGAAGAATCACTTTTGAGATGAAAAAAATCGTCTTCGAAGGGTTAAAAGCAAGCGGGAGGGGGAGGGGGAGCGCGACTCCAGAAGTGCATACTCTACTCGTATACTCCATTGGCACTCCATTGGTACTTCAATGGTACTCCAATTGTACTCCACATTTGTTTTTGGAGCGTATGGAGTCTCGCTTTTCCCCCCTTGGGCGAAGAGGTTTGTAATTAGAACTATAATAATAGATGTTTGATGAAAAAAGTTTTTATTTTATTTATTTTTAATTCAGAATTCTAAGATAAAAGAGATTGAAAATATATTGGGATGTTCGATCATTATTGATCAACCTTTACCACAACGTTATAGTTTTACAGTTTTGTACGTTTAAATACAGAGCATTTTGTGTATTCAATTACTTATGCTTAAACAAATTCTCTTAAAGAAAAATTAGAATTACAAAAGTTTTTTTTGAATATTCTAGTGGTGGGAAATTGCATATTAGCAAACTGTTTTGTCCTAATTGAAACACTTGCAGCACAAGCACAGTATCAGTATTTAATCATATTTGCTTCCAAAATCGGACTAACTCGAACAAGTTCTATTAATCGAATGGGACCAACAGAAACATCTGTTTTTTACCAGATCAAGGAAATAAAAACAAGTGAATAGATATTAATTAGTTATACGTATCATAATGTGAAACAAACTATTGATAGGAACTTGGTGACGAAGATGAATAAAAATTTACAACAAGTAATACAGATAAATACATCAAGTCGTTCGAATCTGAATTGTTTGTATATTTTCATATTTTTAGAACAATCAAAAACTGATTCGAATCAAAATGTCGAAGATGAAATAACTCTTAATGAAAAATTGCTTAAAATTGGATTTTCTGATATACATTTTAATTAGTTTATCTCTTCGATATTAGATAATAACAATGATATTTCTGTTTGTTGGAATCAATTTTGAAAACGTTTGTTTTGACATTTAATGAATGATACTATGTGAAACGACTTTATATACTAGTTTTGTAATTATGTAATACTTTTGATGAGTATATATTCATGTCTAATACTTTATAAAAAATAAATAAATATATATATATATGTTACGGTCAAAATTGGAATTTGGTCAAATTCTAAATTTGAGCGGACAAAATTAGAATTCCAATTTTGACCAGATTGTTTTTGGACAAAATTGGAATTCCAGTTTTGTCCGGACGAAATAAGAATCGGACTAGAAATCAACTGGGCTGAGTGTGGGTGTGGATGGATCAGTGTCAGTGTTGCCAGATCTTCGGATTTTGCAGAAAATATCTGGAGTTCGCAAGTTTTTCTGGATTTCAAATACTTTCTATTTCAATCATATTTTACTTGACTGTTAATATCCGTAAAAATGTATCAATAATTTGAATGAAGCTTTGTTTTATCTTCTATTGATCGACTCAAAGGACCAATTATTTTTCCTTCATTCGTGCGTATAGTTTCTCATTTTTCTCTTACTCAACAACACTAGAATAAATGGACTACATAGTCTGTACTTTACATTCATCTTTCTTTTACTACTGCGAAAATGCTTAATTAAAACCAAGTGACAAAGATTTGGGTATGGGTTCACATCCACACTCTTAATATCGAATTTTATCTTTTTAGTAGTTGTTATTCATTCACTTAATTATGTTTTGATATTTGTTCTCTTTTTCTTATTGAAATATATTTTGTGAAGATGAAGAATAATGTTATTAATAATCCGGGTGAGAAAACTGTAATTTAATTAGTTAAAATTGACCTTCGGAAGCCTTTCTGGATTTTTTTCTGGATTTAAAAGAAACCGCAATTTTCCGGATTTTAAGATTTGCATTCTGGATTTTGGATTATCCTATCTGGCAATACTGATCTGCGTGGGAGTGTGGGTGTGGATATGAGACAAGAGCAAGGTTCACACCCGTACTCGACATCTCACACTCACCTACTCCCACGCAGACCCATTCATCCAGACCCATCCAGTTGATTTCTAGTCTGATTCTAATTTCATCCGGATAAAATTGGAACTCCAATTTTGTCCAAAAACAATCTGGTCAAAATTGGAATTCTAAATTTGACCAGATTCCAATTTTGACCGTACCATATATATATATATGAAAATATTTCACTATGTACTTTATTTATTCAGTTTGTAGACGCTTGCCAGTGTACATATGATATTACATAAAGACGGTTAATAATCTTAGTGAAATCATTGTATACAGCAGAGTTCGATTTCCTGATAACTGCGAAAAATGAATGAACATAAAAGTGGACATCATTTCAATATGAAAAATTTTAAATACTTAAGAATGGATAAAAATTGATTAAAGAAAAAGTCTGATAATGGTAGCGATTAGATTGGATAGAATAGTGAAAAACAGTTAGATAGTTATAATTCAGTGATTAATTAATGATTGATATAGTTTCTTTTGTCAGAGACACAGCAAATGAATTAAAATAACTATATTGCTATTTGAATGCGAAGCAATATTATTCCATCACGTATGAAGAACGAAACTTAGAAACTATTTATTTGTTTCAATGGCAATCATGTTTCATGGTTTATTTTTTTTTGTTTTAGCAGTACATTACAATAAATAAAACCTTATTTAATCAATAAGGTTTTAAATTGTTATAGTTTTTGCTTACAGCTTTCTCTTTAGATCAATTTGTGTAGTTTAAATTCAATTATGAACAAGTTCTAAATGGAAAAATCCGATAGAAAATATATCTCTTTAAATCATTTATGATTTGATATGCAATAATTTATGAAAGTGTTAAGTAAATAAATTAGTGGCGTAGCTATGAGGAGGACACGGTGGAGCAATGTCCC